AATAACAACAACAAAATCAGCATTTTCCGTAAAAGGACTTTTCATTTTAATAAAAATACAAATCACAGCAACAACAACATCATTAACAACAACAGCATAAACAGCACTAATTTTAACAAAAACAACAACAACAGCAACAAAAGCAGCAAAAACGCTAACAACAAAATAGACTACAACGTCAACCACGGAGAAAAAAACATCCCTAACACCACCACCACCACCACCACTACCACCACCAACAACAACAATAACAACAACAAAACAGTGGCATCAAACAACAGAAATAAAAACATCACGACCGATGACGTCATCGTCCTGCACGCACCAATCAGAGGATGGAAACTGTGCTACCACGTGATTATAAGTTGCGACAGTTACACTGTGAGTCGCTTGATTTCAATTACATTTCAAATCATTTATACGAATTTTTTCAAATTTAAATTTTTGTATTAATATTTATCGCCATTCGCTCACGTGAATGCAATGAGGCAGCCATTGAATTTATTGCAAGTATGAATGAGTGGTATTATTATTTTTACCAAGATTTTTATTATTTCTACTGCAACACACTAATAACCTATTAAAATGTATTTATTAAAAAAATAGCATCACAATCTTTGTTGTTTTTATTGTTGTTGTCGTTGCTGTTGTTGTCATTTTTGTTGCTGTCGTTGTTGTTTTTGTTGTTGTTTTTGTTGCTGTCGTTGTTTTTGTTGCTGTCGTTGATATTTGTGTTACTGTCGTTGTTGTTTTTGTTGCTGTCGTTGTTGTTTTTGTTGCTGTCGTTGCTGTTTTTGTTGCTGTCGTTGTTGTTATTGTTGCTGTTTTGTTGCTGTCGTTGTTGTTTTTGTTGCTGTAGTTGTTGTCTTTGTTGCTGTAGTTGTTGTTTTTGTTGCTGTCGTTGTTGCTGTCGTTGTTGTTTTTGTTGCTGTCGTTGTTGTTTTTGTTGCTGTCGTTGTTGTTAATGTTGCCGTTGTTGTTTTTGTTGTTGTTGTTGTTTTTGTTGCTGTCGTTGTTATTAATGTTGCCGTTGTTGTTTTTGTTGTTGTTGTTGTTTTTGTTGCTGTCGTTGTTAAAATTAGTGTTGTTTATGTTTATGCCGAAAGTGTACATTACGCCACTACTCTGCATTCATTATAGACCTGTGGAGTGGACTGATGTTGAATTGGACTGGTGTGAGTAGACCAACATCAGACGAATTTTTATAAATTTCACAGGCTTTCAATGTTATTGTTACAATTTTATTCACATTAGAATAACAGAATAATATTCAGACTTTATAATTTAATTCAATAAAATGTGTTTCAGCATTTTCAAATTAAAAATTGTTATAAAGGGTTGGGTATTGCAGCACACAACGCTAATGCGATGAATGAGTTTGCTTCTTTTACACACACACACACACACACACACACACACACACACACACACACACACACACACACACACACACACACACACACACACACACACACACTCACACACACAAACAAACACAAACAAACACACACACACAAACAAACATACACACAAACACAACTTTGCAAACCAGTCCGAGATGTTCTACCTGTACAACGGATTCAATGACCAACAGCACTTCAACAAATCACTCACAGACCTCCCACCCTACAAAACGTGCCACGTTTTTGTTCGAGTCAAGTTAGCTCTGACGAGTGCTTTCTGTGAGCTTGAAAGGTCAGGGTCAAAAACGCCTGGCTACTGGAGTGTTTGGAATCACGTCTCTTTCATCTCGAGGCAGAAAGGTTAGAAAAACTTTAAAATATCAAAAAATTTAATATCATCATCATCATTATTATTATCATCATCATTACCCCTACCATTATTATCATCATCAGCAGCATCATCATCACATTTACACCATCACCAATTCAGTCCCCTCAGGCAGTCCACCCACATGTCCTCACTGTTTCCACATCTCTCCGATTCGTTCTCATCAGTGTGGTTGGCGGAGGATCACCATTTACTTCAATGTTTGTATATCTGTTGTCTTGTACGTGTGTGCGTGTGTATGTTTATCTTCTGTGTGTAGATGTGTGTGTGTGTGTTGTTTTGTTTTCTTGTTATACGTTTTGTGTTTTGTGACTGTGGGTTTTGTGTGTGTGTGGGTTTTGTCTGTGTGTATGTTTTGTATGTATGTCGGTTTGTTTCTTTGTTGTATATTTTGTGTGTGTTTGTATGTGCATGTTTTGTGTGTGTGTGTTGGTTTGTTTCTTTGCTGTATGTTTAGTGTATGTATGTTTTATGTGTGTATGTATGTGTGGTAGTTTGTATGTTTGTTGTATATCTGTATATTCAGAACTTGTATATGTAACATACATGTTTGCACACAGGAACCTAAAAATCACACACATACACACACTACACACACACACACACACACATACACACACAAACACACATAGACACACACAAACACACACAGACACTGAAGCATGACGAAATCAGAGGTAGCCCACAGGTCTACAGGCTTCAAAGTCATCAACAACACCAACGAACACACAATAATAAGAATAATAAAAATCTTAATAATAGTAATAATAATACTAATCACATGAATAATAACAATATTATTAATAAAAAGAATAGCTGCGGTTATAAAAATTACCATCATACCTTTCAAACGCATTCATTTGCAGCAAAATCTAAAAACAGCAAACAACAGAACGAACAGCTCAGCAACGACGAAGATGACGACGACGACGAGGATCAAAATGAAGATGACGCTGACGTCATTAAACCTTTATCTAATTCCTGCTTTAATATGAAAAAGGGAAGTGGCAGTTACGTAGACGGTAAACGTCAAAATGATAACAAAGATGATGAGGATGATGAAAAAAGTTACGGCGATGAAGTCGATGATGACAATGCAGTCAAACCATTTACATATAAATACATTAACTCGGTTTTAACCAATGAAATCACACATTCAACTCCAAACTCGTGTTCTTCCACTTCATCATCATCTTCCTCATCATCACCATTATCATTAAAATCGACAACTGAACAAAAACACATGGTGACGCTAGAACTCTCACTTACCGAATCTTACAATTTGTCGGTAGATGTCGGTACAGATGTCGGTTTCAATGACACCTTACCGACCGAAAGTTCATTCCTATTTGTCCCGAAGCAGATGAATGGTCGGTTGATGCTTTACATTTTTTATTCTTCAATCATCTTAAATTGTTTTGTTGTTTTTATTACTATCATCGTTATCATCATCATCATCTACATGAACAATCACTGCTACCACCACCATTATCATCATCACCATCATCATCACCATCATCATCACCATCACCATCATCATCACCATCATCATCACCATCATCATCACCATCATCATCACCATCATCATCACCATCGCCATCATCACCATCATCGCCATCATTATCATCACCGCTACTAGTACTTCCTGGTCCACGAAATCTCACGGCCATGGTGATTGGCGAGTGCAACTGCAAGGTCAATATAAGTTGGGCCAGTGACGAAACTTCCGGTCACGTGAATAATAATGGTAATAATAATAATAACAACAAAAATGATAACAATAATAATAACAATGACAATAATAATAATGATGATAATAGCAATAGAGGATTAACTCATATTTACACGGCTGTCTGGTGTCTCGGCTCTCTTAACAGCATGAGTTGCAAGGTAGATTATTACATACATCCTTCAGTTTGCATGTTCTGTGGAGCACTCACGGTATAATAATAATTATAAAATAAAAAATAATAACAATAATTATGATGACGATAATAATGATAATAATAACCAATCAGAGTGAACTGCATCACGTGATTGTACCGGAATGCTGTTCATTCACCATCGACCTAGCACATCCATGCAACGTCGATGATTACATGTTTGGTGTCATTCAATCGTCTTACTCACTCTCATCTTCATCGTCGTCATCATCATCCTCATCGTCGTCGGTCTCACAAAGTAGTGGGATAATATGGACGAATTGTTTGCTTAACACAGACGCAGGTTGAATTGTTAACGTTGTTTGCCATTTAAATTTTATTTTTATCGCGGTTTAAAATGTTTACTGAACTATTTTTTAAAGTTCAGCTTCATTTAATGATCTTAAATCCGGCTTTTGCCGAATTTCTTGTGTTGGATTTGACGAATCCAAATCTTACCGGATCCCAGGATTTGATGCTTGAATCGCGTTCCTAATCAGAATTAATAATCCCAAAATTAAAATTTTTTAAAATTCAATAATGAATAGCGTCCAATCAAATTAAGTCATTAATAATTCACTGAGATCAAAACGTCAATCATGACATCAGTTGCTCCTCCCCCAAGTCTGTCATTGGATAGCAACGATTACACGGAAATCAAAGTGAGAATAACTCGACCAGCGTGTGTCAGGGGTCACGGTTACGTCTACGGCTACGAAGTTTACACCTGCCAGGTACCTGATGACGTGGTCGATGACGTCAGCTTCCGCAACCATGACGTCAATGAAGATGGGAATGGAGATGGTTGGCTTAGAGGGGAAGCCGTTCCTTGCGAATGTTTGACATTTGACGTTTTTAATATTAACTTGTAGAGTCTGATTGACATTTTCATGTTAATTGTTTTGCGATGAATTTATTGAAATTGAAATGGTATTGAAATAAAAATTTAGACCAAATTTATAAATTACGTTTATAAAATTTAACCTTTGACCCAGATTTGCGTGACCCAATTTTCGTAGACGAATCCGAATCGACCATCGTTATAAAGGATTTAAAATCAGGTCAGAGATTGAAAATATTATCTAGGTCAATAACTGCTGGAGGAAAATCTCCGAACTTTGCATCTCTGCCTGTCACGGTTGCGGTGGTGGAGGGGCTGGTGTTGAAAGGTGAAAAGTTGAAGGGGGCCATCGGGGCAGCCGTGGTATTAGGAGGGCTGGCCGTGGTCGGCATCATTGCTATTCTAATGTAGGTAGTGTGTGTCTGCTTGTGTATGTGTGCGTCTGTGGTTTTTAACACACAACGTCATCACTAGATATTTATCATTCTCACGTCATCTCCGTTAATCATCACTTAATCTTGACTTAGTTATTCACTGACTTGCACAGTTTCAACCTTCCACTGACGTCACTAACCGCCATTTATCGCATCACACAACAGTTACAACTGGAATCTTATCGCAAGAGTTCGATCCTGGTGGCATATGCCGGGACTGAAGCCAGCGTTGAAGGATCTTGAAAAGATAACTTTTGTGGTGGACACTAGCTATAGCAAAAACCATGACATTAACAACAACAACAACAACAACGATAGTAATAGTAATAATAATAAAATTAACAATTTTTCACTCCCCAACCGGCACGAACACACAAATGGTGATCGTCATCTCGTCAACAAAAACAAAAGAAACCCGTTGTATGACGTCAGAGGAGACTGTGGAGTGCCAATTATATTTGGTAACATCAATTTTTTTTATTTCCTTTGTTTTAATTGATAAATTTTCTTTTTTTTTCAATTTAACATTGCAATGAATAGACATTAAATTTTTCTGAAAATATTGGATGTTGTTAACTTGTTTTTATCTGAACGATACAGCCAACTTTACATTATTGCTGTTGATGTTGTTTTTGTTGATGTTAGCGTTTAATGTTGATGTTTCTTTTCTAAACGTTATTAATCGTTATTAATCAATTAAATTTATAAGCAGTTAATTGAGTCCTTATGAACGTAAATGAGATGAGATAAGAGGGGTGATGAATGAATGGGATGAAAAACCCTAAATGTGTGTTAATTTTTAAGCCAATTAACGTACCTATCTACCCTCTGTCAAATATTCAGTTGAAAAACTTCCCAACACAGAACTGGAGGTAGAACCATCATCATCATTACTTTTGTCATCATTATCATCACTTAAATCTTCTTTATCATTATCATCGTCGTCGTCATCGTCATCAAAAATATCGTCATCATCACCTAGAGCTAGTTGTGCTGTAGTACCACCCCCATTGCTCAAAGCTTTCAGAAGTGATTGTAATGATTGCAATAGTGATAAATGCAATGATAACGGCAATGATATTAACCTTAATTATAATCGTCGTCGTCTTCATCATTCTCATGGCATCCACATAAATAATGATGTCAAAGATGAAGAAGTTTTTGGTTATGCAGATATGGCCAGTGACAAAAACAAAATCATCACAAAAGTTACCATTGATGGTTGTGATAACGGTGAGGACGATGATGATGACGACGATGATGATGAAGAAGAAGATGACGAAAAATATGATGACGACGACGACGATGAAGAAGAAGATGACGAAAAATTTGATGACGACCACGATGATATTAGTGAGATTAAAGAGAGTGATGCTGATAGCAGCTTTAGTGATCAAAACATAGACAAATTTATTTCAGAGAAATGTAACCACATTGTGGGTGACAATGTGCAGCGGCAGTTACTCAAAGAGCCTTTGAAGTTTAATTCACCTCAAAACAGAAGCTTCAAGGAGGTCACGAAAAACAACAAAATTTTTTTTAATGATTGCAATCACAATAATACCAGCAATAACATTAACTGCAACAACGACAACTGCAACAACAGTGTTAACATCAACAACACCAACAACCGTGATTTCAGTAGCAAACATTTTAAAAATAACTTACCCGTAGCGAACAACGCATTCAACATTAATAACATCAACAAACAATCTGAAGACAAATGTCACAATAAAAAACGCAATTTCTTCTACGGTGAAGACAACCATTCAAATCATTCAGGCTACGACATTTACGAAGATGACAGAAGCGAAGATGACGAGAATGACTCCAATGACACTAACTGTGATGTCAAAATTAACGACGGCTACCATGACATGAAGTCAATTTAAAATTTTCTCATTTCATTTTGGCCGTCTTGAGCACATTTATATATACAACAATCAAGCAGACATTTTTATTTTAATATCTCAATAATTACTTAATTGAACCGTGATATAGCCTTCATTGTTATATTTATATTAATGTCACTGCATTATGATAATTTATAAATAAAATATGTCCTAATTAGTTAATGAGCACACATCAAATCGGAGAGTAGCTATTTAAATTTTGAAACGAAATGAATATTCATTAAATGACGTAAAAGATTCGATTAACGAATATTACAAACCTGTTAACAGTTATTGTTCAATACTTTCAAACAAGACAATTTGTTTCGAAATATTGAACTTCCATTAATTTTAAAATTAACTCAAAATGTAACTTAGCATATATAAATATAAATTTTGCAAATATTGTTATTATTAATGTTATTATTAATGCAGTTTAACGGCGTTTCAGCGCTACTGGCTATCTTTACGCCCTTTTTTCTTTTGAAACAAAATTGTCTTAGGGTTCTTTTGAGCTTTTTTCAAATATTTCTATATTCTGTCGAGTATTTTTATTTCCTGAAGATATGTTATTAGATTATTGATGTTTTCTTTCTTGAAAATTTTTTCAATATCTGAGGGGATCTGATATATTGGTTATATGAAATTAATACAATTTGAAAACTTTAGCAATTTTATTTAAAGATTCAAAAGTAAATTTTTTGCAAAATCGTGTTTGTGTCGGCTGGAGTTATAAACGTTCCCACCCTATCCGTTATATCCAGAGCATGCGGAAAAACACTAAATCTGATGATGGGAAGTTTGCTCTTTATAAATTCCTGGGTGGTTCTACTAGCCAGAAAGCAACTTCTTATTCAAATTTAAAGCACGTACTTCGATATTGAAAAAAAATGAGCTATATAAATGCAAAAAATAAAAAGCATTGTTTGCGTAAGATAGGCCTTCGATGACGTTTGTATTAAAAAGTTGAAAATAAAGAAATAACGCTCTTTTATTTAATATCAAGCGGTTTAACCAGCCAACAATAATAATAATATTTTTAAATATATACATGTCTTCAAACATATTTTGTTTTAATTAACTTACAAACATTTTTTACAAAATTTTGTTATTAATAAATTAAATACAAATCATTTTAAGAAAACACTCAATTTTACGTACAAAACGGAAAAGGTACAACAGACGAATATTTATTTTTATTAAGACTTCTATTTAACTTTAAATCAAACCGTTTTAAAGAAGTACAGATGATTTCGAAACCGGGATCGACCAGTTGAGAAATTCGACTACGATCTTTTATGCTGCTCTGCAATCACCAACAACAACAATAAGCCGTCACAGCAATCACAACAGGTGAACAGGTTTGTCGTATCTAAAGATAGATTATTCGAATGTAGGAAATTTAGCGAAACATGAGCCAGATAACTTGTATAAGACGTTATCATTAATGTTCACATTCCGTATAAGTTTTGAACTGAATCCGGACAATACGCTGAACAAATTAGACCGAACCAACAGCGGTCATTCCAGGCAAAAAGCGCAAAACTTATGAAAAATTGTCTGACAACAGTAGTTCAAAAAATCGCTCAAAGACGGCTAAACCACTAACTCAGGCAAAAAACTTGTTTGGCTGGCCCAAAAACATTGGATAAAAATATTTTGGGTCACGCTGACTGACCCATGCTAAACAAGGTTGTTCGCAGAAATAAGACCAAACAAGTAAAAAAACAGCGAATACCATCGGGTTCAAAAACCAATCCGCAGTTTCAAAGTTCAACGTACGCTACCGCAGCCGCGTCTTTGGCCGGGCTCACTCTTACGACGAACATTTTAGCAGCATCTTCCACTTCAAATAACAATACAATTGAAGTTGACCATTTTTTAAGAAAACCTGATTATCATTTAGACATTTCTAAATTTTGCAAATCAGAAGAAATTCAAAAAGACAGCCAGAATACGAAACATACTGAGCTAGAGGAAAACGATCAAGGACAAAGCTCAACAGATCATACAAACGCAACACCACTATCCAACAGTGCTGCGGATAAAGAAGATAATTACATCTTCTATCAATCGCTGCTGAACGATATCAAATTCCAAAGACGACATCAAAGTTTCAATCGACAAGAAGAACAGACTGAGAGACCAGCTTGCCAGCATTTTAGTAGCTACACAAGCAATATAGGTAATCGATTATCTTTGTTAGGAAGCGGAGAAAACGAGTTCAACAGTCACGACAACGCAAACAGCCAGTCACCCTTTCAACAATTAAATCAATCACAGCAAATAAAATCTTTGGCGTTTGATTGCACCTTGGAGAAAAGTCCAACCTACTCTCAAACGTTAATTTCAGGATCAATGGGACACGCTTCAAGCAAAAGATCCAGACACGACCAGGGACAAAACGAAGTTGTCACCATGAGTGGAAGTCGTTCCAGTCACGGAAACAAACGCTACGTAGATGGCGGTGCTTTTCGTGACGAGTATGCAAAAGGTAATACTGTACCCGGTTCTTCCAAAAATTATCGGAGTCGAGGTGGTGTCAGTCGCTCCCCTGAACAAGGCGGTAGTGCCATGGAAGTTGATGACGATGATCAGGCCAAAATTGCCGGAGTGGGATCTTGGTCACCGAAAAAAATTGGCGGTGGCCAGATGATCGATGCGAGAACTTCGAAAGATGTGGCAGGCATTCCACGGGGAGTTGGAACTCAGCCAAGATTTCTGCATGCATCTGCCATCAAGTTGCACAAATTGCAGTTTGGAATTGATAAAAGGTTGACAATCATTGACGAGAAGTCTAACGCTGTGCTCAAATACAGAACGCCTCATTTCAGGTTCACTCTGATTCATTTCATATCTAACAATTAAAAGTATATTTTCACCAAATTGTGCCTAATAAAACATTGAAAATATTAAACATTATAACTAATTGTTAGACATAAAATTATGCAATTATTTTTTAACTGATTTTGCCTCTAGAGCCCTGGCAACTGTGGAAATTCCACCGCTTCCGGCAGGAGTGAACATTCAAGTGGGATGGATCCAGGTGTGCACGGATATGCAGTTCATCAACACGTACGGAAATGAGGGATTGTAAGTATGGCAGTTTGGGATTGCTGTTAATGAACTGAAAATTGAATTTAAGTTGACTGCAACGGCATTTATTTGTAGCATATGCGTATAAATTTAATACTTCAATTTTATATAAATAACATAAAAAAATCAGAAATCTTTAAATCCCTATCGAGATATTTTTATCAAAATAAGTTTCGTAAACTAAATGTATATATGTTTTAAAATCAGTGAAGATATTTAAACACTGTTCTACAAATATTACTCATATTAGTGAGGTTCTCACCAAATAATCACAAACGATAGGACCAGCTGGGAATTCCCAGAAATAGTCAGCGGGAAGTACAAGATGGTGAGCGATGCAGATGGCAAGCAGTACCCCTGGTATGGTTCGAAGAACGAGGTCGCCCACCTCCAAGGACCCACGCAGAACCCCACCACGGCCACCATTCACATGAATGACAATTTCTTTCCCCAGGTTACGCATCAATACATTTTTCAATGAAATTCATAGGTAAAAGTGAGATTCAAAAATTATTGAGGCTAATTTTTCATGACATCGAACATTTTGTTAATTGCTTTTTGGATTGGTTGATCGATTGTTTAAAATATTAAATAATTAACCTAATAAAACTGTTAAAAACGTTTGTTTGATGTACAAAGCAGTAAAATATGTTTTCTCTCGTTCAAAGGTTACTTGGTACATTCCTAGCATTGGCTACACCAGAGATCCGAGCTTGAGTTTTGTCTATCGTAAGCAGCGCTTCTACACCTTCCTGGCTCTGAAAGACGTCAACACGGACACCTACCAGATCATCAGGACACTGACATGGTCCATGGAGCTCGCCATCGACGTCAATCCGAAAAACCCGCTAGGGAAGAGAGCGAAACTGTTGGGACCCTTCGAGCAGGTGACTGAACAAATATCAAACGATGCAATTAGTTTCAATTTTTGAAGAAATTTGTATCAGATTAATACTGCAAATTTTTGCTTTTGCCAAAAAACAACAGAATATTAAAAGTACCAAATCACGCTTGAATTTTTTTAATAAAAAAAAATACTATTTTTCCATGAAGGAAAGCCCCAAAGTAGTTCCAGAGCATCTGACGCCTCCGTTGAAATCTTATGCCTTGAACCCGCCCAATGCTAACAGCTGTCAGGTTTGTAACAACAACAACAATAATAATAATAATAACTACGCCATTAATTATAAAAATACAAATAAAAAAGGTGGTTAATGAAATTATTAGTTCTTTTTTCGCGAGTTGTTGACGGTTTGAAGTTTTGAAAACGAGTTGTTAATTTCGCGTACAATAGACTGCTGTTTCTGAACTTTATTATTATTCTACTACTAATTCATAGCTTTTAATGATTAACTAAAAAATTGAGGTAAATAAAGAAATGCCAAATTATTTATTTGAAGTATTTTTTTGGTTCACTTTATTGAAAAATGTATGCTCTACATCGATTTGGTTTATAAAATTGTAGCTGTTTACATTAATGCGCTCATTCTTATTCAGAGTAAGATAATTTTTAAGAAAACACATTTCAACAATGTCATAATTTCAATTTAACAACGAACTCAAGTTGGAAGCACCAATTTCATACCTTAAATTATTGCCAACATTTTATTCGTGTGTTCCTCTAAATATTTTTCCAGGTGCTCGTCTGGAGGCCAAAGTACGGCGACACGGAGCTTGTGGTGCCACCAGTGCAGACGACCATGGAGATGAGCAGGTACCTCGTCAGCACTAGGGATGCCACCGCCAAACTTCTTCGCATCACCAAGAGCAATTTTCTCCTAAAGGCCCAGCAGCAACAGAAATAAAAGATGGCCACAACCTACCTCTCTGACGTCATCAGGCTGCTGATGCTGACAAAGATTGGAAGTTTAGTTGGTAGACGAATTAATGGAATGTCAAAAACAAAGATAATAAACGAAAAAAATGAAAAATATTGAAAACGTTGGAATAACATGGAGGATTTTTTCATTATGATCTATGAAACAACATGCGGACAATAACTCGACATCATTATACATAAAAACAACTACATCAACTACAACACTACAACATCATGATTAACATATTGGCAACTGGTAACATAACAACAACAACAACAGCAGCAACAACAACTGAACTTAATTAAATATTGTGAAAAATATAAAAACTTAAAAATACTGGTAACTACCAACAATCAATATCAGAGCAGCAATATTTATTTGTGACGTTATAAACTCAACATAGCTCCAACAACCTTTCCAACAGTTTGAAACTATTCAAGCAATTAGAAACGTGATCAACTGTTTACAAACATTATCTGCTATTTCAGATATTATTATTTACTAATCTTTCAAAAGGTGCTAGCTTAAGATTGGTATAAAATTCAACAGAAACTACAACACTAGCTAAAATGTTGATATATAAACTTCTGAGAAATGAAAGATTCAAATGAGTATTGACAAGTCATTTACAATTAAAAAGACAAAATGTGATTTTTGTTACCAAATCAGAACGAACTTAATGGTCATCATTTGCAGCATCAACTTCACCACTGCGAAAAACGGCAATGGTCTTGGCAGCAACAATCTCTTTGTTCTTCAACTATGAATCGACCATTTTTTGTTAGAAAACAATGAATAATGTAAAAACCCCACTCACATTTGAAGTATTCAACATTTATACAAATCCTTCAAAACAAAATTGAAGCCATTTTAAACAGAAAAATTGATCTAAACGACCACAGACAGTAGGGCAACCGCCGGGACAATTGCGACAACATGAGAAGCAGAGTAACAACTGGGTTTGCCAAAAATGTAAAAAGTTCGACAAACTGCTTTCACAGCGACCAGTTGATGTCTCGTTTGGTTTACTACATTTTTATTACATAAAGTTTTAGAAAATGTTTTTATTTTAAATAAAATGCAGTTTTTTTCCAATATGCTGTTAAATAACCATTCTTTACTAGCAAGTACCTCCAAACACACTATAAAATCTAGTCATTTTATTTTTTTTTTTACTTATTCATCTTTTAAAATTTACTGCCAAGTGATAATGAACATCAGTGTCTTATATTTCTAGTATGTTTAAATACAAAATTTGTAGATTTTTAAAATTGTCTATACCATCATAAAATAACATTCATTCATTTTTCTCATCATCATCGTCGTCATCTTCATTACCATCATTATTTTCTTAGTATTATCATAATTTTTTCATCCTTGTCATCATCATTATTAATAACAAGCCCGAGGCGTAATGTTATCATCACATCACATCATCATCAGAGTGCCATCATCATTTTAAAGCAAACGTAGGACAACAGTTCTTCATAAATATTCAAAAAATTAATAAATTTTGACGTATTTAACTAATTTATCATTGCTCATTCACTTATTAGCCTTTATATACATTTAAACATTCATTAATAATTTTTCTTTATTTATCCCTGGTATATTTTAGTTTTGGGCAACGTATATTTTGTGTACTTAGTTTTAACGAGTATATTTTACTTGTGTAACAAATACAATTGACAGCAGTAATGTTACATCAATATTGATTTCAACAGTTTTTCATCAATATCGTTGTTATTATAGGTGATTTCATACCCAGCCATATTGTTCGGTATTATTTACTTAGGTACTTGATTTACTATCTCTTCATAAACGTTCACATCATGGTGATAATAGCGACGACGACGATGACGATGAGGAAGATGATGATGAAGTTGATGTGTGATGACGTCATCGTCATTTATAACAACGATTCGTGTATTTTTAGAGGCAGAGCGTCAGAGTTAAGATAAATCACCTGTAATTCGGGCAATAGAGCTTCCAGACGCCATCTGACGAATGATTTAAAAGAAGCGGCCACCAATGCGTCAGTGTGGCGAGTTTATTGTTGCTTTCGAAGCGAGCCAGAGCGCAATAAAATATGCATCGCGTTATTAGTGACAATAATTATATTAACTGCTGATTTACCACCCAGTGGTGAGGACGACGACTATGACGATGGTGAGGACGATGATGACGATGATGATGGTGACGACGATGATGACGATAGGCTGATGATAATGATGATGGTGATGATTGTAATGATGAAGACGTTAGTGATGATGGAAATGTTTGTTATAAAGTGATAATAATTAAAATGAAAAGACAATAGTCTAATAATAAGGACGATGATGATGGGATGATTGTGGTATGGATCTTCGTAAAGATAAAGATAATTATGATAAGGATAATTATGGTAGCAGCGAGAAATGATTAAATTTTCATGATACTGATTTTTTCATTTTTTTATTTTTTTTTGATTTATGCACTAACCTACTTGGACAACGATTCATTGAATTTTTGGTAAAGAATAGTAACATCTTTTTGAATGTTATTTAATACGTAACGAGATGTATTTTATTTTCACATGTGTGTGCGCGTGTGTGCTTGCGCGAGAGTTTGTGGTGAATTTATTAGCGAATATTAACTTTATTTACACCTATGAAATTTGTCAATTGCAACATCAACTTTTTTACCCAATTGCATTTTTTAAACCATGTTTTGACTTGAATTTTTGAAATATTATGATATATATTTTATTTATTATGAACGTGATGAGAGTCTTAATGTTCTCGACTTTGATGGGAGTGCATGGTTATGAAGTTTGGATCATCGTTAGTGTAAATGAGGATATGAGAGTGAGGTTAATGTCAAGAGTGTTAATGTCACGGGTGTGGATGTCACGGGTGTTGATGTCACGGGTTTGGATGTCACGGGTGTTGATGCCACGATTGTTGATGCCACGATTGTTGATGTCACGGGGTTGATTTCACGGGTGTTGATGTCACGGGTGTTTGATGGTACTAACATTATTCATGTCATATTATTATTATTATTATTATTATTATTATTATTATTATGTAAACGAAAACTGAATGTTATTCCATAAAACGATCACAAAAAACAGCGTTCCTTGTTTCAGTATATTATTGCATTAGATAAGTAACCGGACGGTTCTCAAAATAGGGTTCATCTAAACAAATGGTCACATGATTAAATGATCAGATGGTCACATGATTAAATGATCAGATGGTCACATTATCACATGATCAAATGGTCACATGATCAAATGGCCACATAAGTTACTATCAATGTATATATCGATTTCTTACTATTTATTAAAGAATATTTTAAAGGTCTGAACTGAGCCTTTAATCTTTAAACAAAATTGTGAAAGTTCAAAGGGAGGGAATGGTATTGTGTTAGCTTTGACACGTGAGCACTACGTACGTACGCTAGAAAATTTGCATAGTAATATAATAAATTTGTTGGTTGAGATGTAATGTTTACATTTTGACAATCGCATGTGATAAAAACATCACGTGACGATAGCGTGCTTTAATCACGTGATTCCGTGTTGAAATTGTCACTCGATCAATTATTTTTTCCGGATTTGATTCAAAATTTTTTTCGTAGAAAAATCAAAGATTATGAAACAAGAAAGTGCGGTATACTTGCATGCCTGTAATACGACCAGCTATTCCATTCCAGCTACTATTAAATCATTTATTCAATTCAGTCTTTCATTTATTTATTTAATCATTCTTTCAATCATCTATTCATTCATTTTTACTTTTTCTAAGATCCGAAAATTTGCAAGCAAACAAACAAAAATAAAAAAAGCAAACAAACAAACGAACGAACGAACAAACGAACAAACGAACGAACAGATAAACGTTCACTAACAAGAACACAGCCATCGTAAAGACAGACGCGTCGATGGATGAACGGCTGGAACGACTGTATCCACACACAACTTATTGTCCAAATTACATACATTGTAAGAGAGGAGTACATTGTTCCACGTTCAAATGAGATTTTGTAACAAAAAAAATAATCAAATAAATTTGAAAAATTATGAATAATTAATTAAATTAGTTAATCTCGTTTAATTAATAAAAATTAATAAATGTGTTAATAATGTAATGTGGTGATAATATATTATAATAATATAAACAATTATTTGCTATCTGATGATAATTTGATCAAGGACTTATGTAGTTTTTTCAAAGATTAGTTACTTTGAAAAAATGGGTTCAATGTTACTACATTTCAAAGAATTATTTTTTAAATATTCAAAAATTAAAAATTATTAAAAACTTAAAAGAAAAAAATCAGACAGGAATGTTAGAAAATTTATCAGACCTCACATTGAATAAATATTAAACTACGTAATCCCTTTGAGACAGTTTTCAAATAGATGTTACAAATGGTAAAATTAATTGCATAGAGAGAGAACAAGAAATAGTTTGCGATGTATTTTAAAATATTCATCAATATTTTCGTTCTATGGTACTGCTGCTACGTCATTCGTGGAATTCAACCAGGTTAGCAATTATGCTTAGCAATGAATAAATAAATAAATAAATTAATTAATTAATAATTATCATAACAATAATAATAATAATATTATTATAAATAAAATAAACGATATAACAATAAAAATTTTGTCATATATATTATCAGTAGTTGTAGTAGTAGTAGTAGTAGTAGTAGTAGTAGTAGTAGTAGTAGTAGTAGTAGTAGTAGTAGTAGTAGTAGTAGTAGTAGTAGTAGTAGTAGTGTTAATATTATTATTATTATTTGTAGTAGTAGAAGTTGTAGTTTGTTTAGTAATATTTTCACATAGAAATATAATTACTACAATTACTCTTAATTAAGCATTAATGCTGTAGTTATTAGAAAAAGCAGTTGTATTTGTTATTTGATGGTTGACAAATTTGATGCGAGTATTCGTAGAAGTGTGAATTTCTATTAATTATCTATTCTTTCATTTT